TACTTCAAATAATCATTTTAAGACTAATATATTATAATGTAATGGGGAAAAGAAAATCGCGAGAAATATCAAATAGATTACATTTTTTTTTTTTAAATTCTTACTTGAATAAATCAATCTAAGCTTATAATGCTTACATTAAAACTTAATGAATTGAATAAATTAATTAGAAATTATGATAAATTTTATTTTTGAAGATTTCGAAAATTTTCATTCGTGTAAAGTGCTATAATTAAAAGAAATTTCCGAATGAAATCGAATAACTTAAAAATATTTTATCCGATTATTAGTATGCATGACTGCATTAATTTGGTAATTAATTTGAAAATTGAATTGATAATTTTTCAATATACTCATATAAATTAGTTGTAAAATTTAAGAATAATATAATGTTAAGTGATAAATTTTTCGCCGTTAAAACTACCAATTGTTTCATTTTCGGAATATATAAATAGAAATGAAATCATATTTATATTATTTATAAACTTTAATTAATTTTACTTTAATGGTTTTTATTCGATAATTAAAAACTAAATACATGCAATAATTCTTATAAAAATAAACATGAAAGTATTTGTACTACCACAAATTACATCAGTCTTTTTTATCAATTATCATATTCTATTAGAATAAATTAATCACAAAACTCAATACAGTTTTCATGTCTAGCATTATTCATATTAAAATTTAATTAATTACTAAAAAAAAATTACATAATAATGCATTGTATAATTTGTTGCTTGCAGTATGATTAACAAACGATGGTTTTCGCAAGGATTGTAGCGTAATATGCGGAAAATGTTCGTATCAGTATTTGATAAAGTAATAAGTTAAAAATTTTGATTAAAATTTATTTGAAAATTAACAGAATTTAATGCCTTTAAATTCTGTAATCTTTGTTATAAACAAAAAATAAAAAAGAAAATATAAACAAAAGTTTTCCCTCATTTTTATACATTTATATCGTTTCTAAAAATAATTTCTGATTATGGAAATGTTAGGAATCAGTGTTAAATTAAACAAATTTTCTTCCTAAAGAGGAAAATAATAGTTATAAGCAATGAAACTTTTATCATGAAGTGATATAAAAATTTTAAAATAAAATGAAACATAAATTTAAAAAGATCCATTTTTTTTTGTTAAACTGATATTAAAAAAAAAAAAACAAAATTTAAGTTTTAATCAATCAATTGCATAATTTTACTCATAATTAGTTGTTGAAATGATATTAGTTATATAATTACATTTAGTTAATTATGTATATATAATTATATTTAACAATTTGTTGCGTAATTATATTAGTTCCATAATTATGCTTAGTGAATTATATATATATATATATATATAGTATATAATTATATCTACACATATATTGCAATTGATAACACTTTGTTATCAATAAAATTATCAGTGATTGAATTGAAGAAATATAATTAAACAGCTGATAGAAAGTATTTTAATATCATTCATGAGATTAAATTTCAAAGAAATTTTATGAAATGTAATCCAAATTTATTTTTCTTCTTAACCTGCAAATCTTTATTGCCAAATAAAATAAAATGATTTATTGGTAATAAAATACACATGATGAAAGTATAAAATTATTATGCTCGAAATTATCAC